ACTACTATGTTTTGATTTGACCACACGCCTAACTCTTTTCCAACTAGATCCAGTTTTAACTAACATTGATCGACGAAAAAAGGCGGTAGCTTGGCGTGTGGAACACGTGTCTTAGCTGCCTCAACCGATGAATCTTCACAGCATTCTACCAGTGTGCCAAACGAAACGTTGGAGTTACTCATTTCAATTTCGCTGAGATTTTACAAATATAATTTTTACATATGTCTACTTCTCAAATGGTGCCCAATTATTTTAGAATTATTCGGTTACATCTTGATCACAGTTCATATGATTCATTCTACTTGTATGGCCCTTTAAATTGAAAAGTAGTCTTGACCACTTTGGATATCACGTTGTCTATTCATATCGATGCGATACAATGAAGGTATACTCGATTAGGCCACCACTGAACATACTTCGAAAAGTGAAAAGTGACAAATGATGATGTTGTTTTTTATTCCTTTACGTTCCCAGTGGAACATAAAGCTTCAAGTTAGTGGCTTGAAGTTTCACGAGCAGTGATGTTTATTTTTACTGGATGGGGTTGTCGGTCTCATAGCCAACCTTACCTCTTTACCAGTCTTCTTACCGGCTTAGAGAGATAAAGCAGTTGGTCGGCTGGTGATCGAACTCGAGACTGCATGCGTGGCTTGGAAGTATTCTTCCTCGGTGCCACTGACGCGATTATTGATGTGACACTACGGAATAGAATATACTCCTACTGGAATAGTTCGAAGACGTAGATAACTTCTTGCCAGTCGGGACATTGAAATCACATCAGTAAGTAAATGCATACATTATGAGACACTTAAAGGAACTAAATCGTGTCAGTTACGCTACACACTGTCTGTAAACTCAACCGTCTTTAAACTTGCCTCTCCTATTTCCATTTTAATTTTAAATTATTTTGTAAGTACTGTAAAAGGTGGTCGCTTACATAAACAATAAACAATCTGTCCCGCGATTGTCAATATTATACTCCAAATGGAAACCTCATTCCTATCAGTGTATGTTTTACACACTAGGTGACACAAACACAAATGAAGTGTCCGACTGTTAGCCTTAACTATGTAGGATCGTCAATAGCTCTGATTTAGATATAATCACGATTTGACCTCACGTTTTCTTATAAAATATCACTTCTATATCTTTTTCCAACTCCCTTCGTCTTTCGTCTCAATTTATTATTATTATTATATTATTGTTCCCTTGGGTTCCTAGTGGAACATAGGGCTTCAACTACACGTCTTCACTTGCTTCTGTCTTCTGCTGTACTTTTCACTTGCATCCATGTTATTCCATACTGTTTCATCTCCTCCTCACACTATCTCCTCCATGTCACCCTTGGACGTCCCACTCGCCGCTTCCCTTTCGGGTTCCACTTGAGCGTTGGCCTGACGCGCGATGTCACCCAACGGCCTCCTCAGCGAGTGTCCAATCCATCTCCACTTTCTCCTGCATATTTGTTGGGCGATTGGTTCCTGTTTCGTTTGTTCCCATAGTTTCTTGTTTGTGATTCTTCCCGGCCATCTGATCTTCAGTATAGAGCCAGCGAAGACAGTTGTTGATAAAGGTCTGCAACAGGCTGTTGGAAATATTCTTTGTGACCCGCCAAGTTTCTGATCCGTATAGAAGAACTGACTGACTTGACGTTTGTATTGAAAATCCGAATTTTGTTGTTGATACTGAGTGACGAAGACTTCCAGATTGGTTTCAGGTTGATGAATGTGTTTCTCGCCTTCCCGATTCTCGATTTGACATCCTCGTCCGTTCCTCCTGTGGTTGAGACAATGCTCCCTAGATAAGTGAAAGAAGTAACCTCTTTCAAATCACTCCCGTTGATGGTGATTGGCGCTGGATGTTGCTGCTGTTGTTGTTGTTGTTGGTTGGTTATTTTCATAACCTCCATCTTGTCTATGTTCACCTGGAGTCCTGTCTTTGCTGCTTCTTCGACCAGTTTGTCGGTTTTCGCTTGTAAGTCTTCGATTTTGTGTGACATCAAACATAAATCATCCGCAAAATCCAGGTCTTCTAGGTTCTTCACGTCGGTCCAGGATATCCCTGTCTCCTCGTTTCCTACTGTCTGACGCATAATCCAGTCCACCACAATTAGGAATATCATTGGTGATAATAAGCACCCTTGTCTGACTCCTGTGTTTACTCCAAACGCTTCGCTGAGTTTTCCGTTGTGGATCACTTGACATGTGCCTTTGTCGTACAGCTGTTGAATAAGGTTGATGAATATTTGGGGTACGCCGTAGTACTCGAGTAGTTTCCAAATTACTTCGCGGTCAACGCTGTCGAAGGCCTTCTCAAAGTCTATGAAGTTGAGGTAGAGATTTGATTGCCATTCCATGCTTTGTTCGATGATAATGCGTAGAGTTGCAATTTGGTCAGAACATGATTTGCCTTTCCTGAATCCAGCTTGTTCTGGTCGGAGTTCTGTATCCAGTGCGTCCTTGATTCTCTCCAGGATGATGCGACTCAGGATTTTACTTGGCGTCGACAGGAGCATGATTCCTCGCCAGTTCTTGCAGAGTGTGGCCTGAGTCGCCCTTCTTTGGTAGTTTCACCAGGTAACCTTTCCTCCAGTCAGTAGGTACCTTTCCCTCTTTCCAGATCTTTTGCAATAATGGAGTCAGCATATCTGCTGTCGTTTCTGGGTCCGCTTTCAGGGCTTCCGGGGGTATTCCATCTGGTCCAGCTGCTTTTCCAGCTTTCAGAAGCTTGATTGCATTCATGACTTCAGCTTTCGTTGGAGGATTGGTGTCAACTTGCAGTTGTGTACGTGCTGTTGTTGGTATTACTGGACGGGTTGTAGGTGGTGGTCGGTTCAAGAGTCCTTTGAAGTGATCCGCCCATTGTTTAATCTGTCTTTCTTCCTTGGTAATTGGGTTCCCTTGGCTGTCTTTTATAGGTTTTACTTGTGTTGATCTCTTCCCGGATAGAGACTTGGTTATCTGATATAATATCCTCAGGTCCCTTTTGCCTGCTGCCTTCTCAGCTTCAGTAGCCAGGTTGTCGTAGAATTGTCTTTTGTCCCTCCTGGCACTCTTCTTCACTTCTTTGTCCAGTGCTGTGTAAGTTGAGTTCAGCGTCTCTTTCTCTTGTCCATCTTTGCATTGAATCATTTTTTCTTTCACCTTTCTCCTCTCCTCTATTAGTTTCCAAGTGTCTGTTGAGAGCCATTCCTTGTCTTGTTTCTTCTTTCTTCCTAAAACCGTTGAGCACGTTTCGTTGAAAATTACCTTCAGAGAGTTCCAATGGTCTTCCACGGATGCTTCCTCAGTGGTGCCACGTAGTGTTTCCTGCTTTGCTCTGACAGTTGCAGTGAAAGTGTCCTTTGTGGTTATGTCTTTCAGTTTTTGCGTGTTGAACTTGCATTGTGGCCTATCCCCAGGTATCCTCGAGGCTTTCAGCTTCACCTTGAAAGTCCCTTGTACTAGATAGTGGTCTGAACCCACATCTGCTCCTCTCTTCGACCCTGTGTCCAGTAGGCTCCGTCTCCACTTCCTTGAGATTGAAATGAAGTCTATCTGGTTTTTGGTGTGTCCATCTGGTGAAATCCATGTTGCCTTGTGTATATCCTTGTGTTTGAACACACTGCCACCAATCACCAAATCATTGAAGGCGCAGAAGTCTGAGAAGAGTTCACCATTTTCGTTCATTTCACCGAGGGCCTCACGACCCATGGTGAGTTCTCTTCCTGTATTGTCTCCTCCCAGTTTTGCATTCATGTCGCCCATCAGGATTTTGATATCACTCTTTGGGACGTTGTCCATAACTGTATGTAGTTGACTGTAGAAATCCTCCCTCTTCTCTTGTTCTGAGACGTTTGTAGGCGCGTAGCATTGAATGATTGTAACCTTTTTCCCTTTTGAGTTGAACCTGGCTGTCATTATCCTGGAGGAGATTGGTTCCCACTGCATGAGAGCTTTAGCCGCTGTTGGTGACATCATGATGGCTACTCCCTCGGTGTGCTCATGATCGTCCTCTGGGTGACCGGAGTAGATTATTGTCTCTCCAGTTGATAGTTGGCTCCTTCCACATCCGTTCCATCTGCTCTCGCAGATTCCCAACACTTCTATTTTGTATCTCCTCATTTCTGCGGCTACCTGAGCAGCCTTCCCAGCTTCGTACATTGTACGAACATTCCACGTCCCCATCCTTATTTTTGCTTTCATCGAAAGAAGCACATCGGCTGATTGGCTTCCCGAAGGCTTTCATCAGCCTGCGTCATTTCACTTCCCCGATTCCAGCGAAAAATAAGGTTATTGTTTGTATTTTTAGAATTTTGAATATATTTGTGCGTTGAAGTTTTAGTAGCAATTTGGTAAAGTTTTGGGGGTGGAGTTGCTAGCACCACGCCCCAACCCTCCCTCTTTATCCGGGCTTGGGACCGGCTAGAATACTAGTGACCTAGTAATCTAGGCGAGGTTCTTTCGTCTCAATGTAGTCTACGATTTCTGATTGTGGCTTTCATCCTTTTTCGTCTTCTATACTTCCCATTTTAACTCAATGTGTAGAAATGAGTTGTAGTCAATTCGACTGCTATGCAACAATATTACACCGTGCACTAATACTTTCTGTATGTATGTATGCACATAATAAGCATAGAAGGCATCTGTAAGATATTAAATCATTGTAAACAGACTTCAAGTTTTATTACAAATCAGCAATTATGAATATCAGTGATTCAAGATGAAAATGATTCCATTCGTATTATGTTCAAATTTCATCATGACATAACACCGCGCAGGTAATACACCCATTGAAATCCCTTCACCCCTTTCTGTAGATCTTATGTCTAGTGATGATGCCGTTTGCTGTTGCTGTTGTTGTTGCTGCTGTTATGGAGGTGACGTAGATGATAGCGAAGAGGAATACGCGCCATCTGTGGCTGCAACTGTTGTTTGCCCCTTCCGAGTTAATCGTGCACTAGATTGACAGCTGCAGTCACAACCAGTTTACCGGTCACTGGTGATCTTGTCACATTATCATCAAGACCGATTGGGTATTCGAAATTCTTTATTCGGTCGAATGATTTCACTTTGTTTTTTTGGCAAGTTGAATACGGTATTATCAACCTAGAAGTGGAAGAGAAATGAATTCTATGATTAGTTTTGTGCATAAACTGAGTACTTTGAAGTAATCATAGTTCTTACAATAAAATTCAAAGGTATACAGTTAAAATTGCCCAATTCCCTGTAGACGTAACCCTGCAATTACTGGAAACACACAAACTTTTATTTGAACTTCAGATCTGGTTAGAGCGACGAAGGAAAGAGTCCATACGAGGCGAGATGCACATTGTAGCAAATATTAATACACTGAATACAGCAGTTAGAATGTGTGTTCTAAATGGAAACACTTTCACTGTGTCACACTGGAAGACATGCAGTGCTTAGGGATGCGATTGAATCAAGCCATAATTTACTTACAGCTAGAATTACTACTGTGTGATGTCATGTTGAAGACCATGTCTAAGAATAATGAAGACCATTCGTAGGTGGAATTAGATGAACAATCTGATGAATGGTGAGTGTTGTGTGAGTGGGAATGCTGATTATTATCCATTAGCCGTATTGAAATTGAGACACTGTCTAAATCCATAGGCGATATTCATATCACTAATAACTGAATTCACATTGCGGTTTCCATTTTCGTTCTAATACGTTTTAACCTCTATCATAGTACATAGTGTTTGATTTAGACTGAATTCTATCAGTCAGAGATGCGATGTGGCCACCAATAGTAACAACCATTCAGAGCGCACTGAGATAGCGAGCCCCCCTAGGATGATAACCATATTGCAAATTTGACTGACAGAATTCAGTCTACACCAAACAAAGGACTAGAAGCGAGATTCTAAATACTAACTAGTGTCGAATCGGAGTATCCAGTACAGTCCTGCAAAGAAGTCAGGCGCGATTCTGTATAGCTCAGTGGTAATATTCCTGAGTGGAGCACTGCTTTATATGGCTTCAAATCTCAGGCGTGAATTGAGTTTCTTCAAATTCGGAGATACGCCTTGCTGACTGATGAGTGTTAACAAACATGAGACCTGTGTCACGGGCTTCCTTCCGATCGTGTCCAACCATTTAATAGTTCAGTTTATATTCGAAATACTTCAGCACTCAATATCGACTCTTTAGCTTTAACCCAAGCCATACTGTACAGTCTAAGGAGCTATCTTATCTCTGTGTAGATTGATGTTTACCGTAAACTGTCTAGTCAGTGATTGTATAGCATGGTATATCTGAACGGAAGATACTAGCAACATAATGCATACGGCCACATATTTCATCCTTCCAAATGAGAAAAACTTTACGCTGAAGGACTCTACTCCTGCAGTGAAATATATTTATCTTGTGAATTTGGAGAAGTTCCCTCCTTAGAGTATAATCTAAACGGTGGTTTGATTCTCACTTATTTGTCAAAACTCTCCATCTAGTAAATTTTCAACTACGGACAATTAATTCAACCTAAAGACTGGGGTGAATTATTCGCCTATTTACAGAATATGAGTTTATAGAGTAGTAATGACGTTACACTCTTCTTAAATTCACTCCAAATTTGTTATGATTTGACATAGAATGACGAGTTAACTGTGCAGCGCAACACATATACGGGACCGTGAATACGGAACAATAATATTAGAGAGGAAATGCTCAAATTTACCTGAAATGAGTAGAGAATCGGTGTAGGAAAGACATTGCGAAAGACAATGTGTTTTGTTTCACCAGCTTTTATCGTGATAGGGCCTTGAGGTTGTGGTGGCAGCGCTGTACTTTTAAGCAGGAAACTGTATTCACCAGCTTGTGCACTTGTAATTGTCAGTGTAGCCACTCCATTGCCTACACTGGTTGGTTCAAAAATAACTTCGAGGGTGGCATCAACTCCAGCCGCTACACTGACTTGTTTTTCACAGTGGAAGTCACAATGATCAATCTACAAATTGGAAGAATAGTCATTAGTTAGCTTACTAGAGATGAACAGAAATTAAGCAGCTGGATATCCGGCATTACTGATCAGGAATTCGGCCTTTCAATGAAGTGAGGGATTATTATGTTTTTTTTTGTTGGTATGTGTATCACTGTTCCAAAGTCTGCATTCGATTTAATCTTTATTAACGGTGTTTGTTTGCAGTGGATTTCTATTCTAAATGCTTCACTTTAATATTACGTGATGCTGGAATGTTGATAATAACGTGCTGCTTCACGATTTCTATTCTGTTTGAAAGGATTCCAGACTACTCCCTGAGGATCTTTTGACCTGGGACAGTCAGCAGAAAACATGTTAGTTGGGTTTGATTCTTGGTGACAGAGTTTTGATCGCACCTAGTTGGGAAATATTCTGTTTTTTCTCAATACAATTTTTGTACCTGAGAAATTCTTGCATGTTATAGCTGCCTAACAGCATCGTTGCGGAAGCTTTGCGTTTTCGATGTGTTATTTTGTTTCACGGTACAACAGATTTTAGCACATCCACCTGTTTTTTTTCTATCATTCGGACAATTTTGGGACTGTGAGTTATTCACCGAAATTTGTTGAGCAATAAAGAAGAACGCAGGTCAAAATACCTGGGTTTTGATCGTTACAGTCAAATTCTGAAACCATAAGATGATTTAGTAAATTACCTATTTTACTACTACCACGTCACAGAACATACCTCGGATATGTTGCGTATTTCAAAATATTCCTAAGTTTAGTTTCTGATTGTACAAAGATTTATGTAGTCCAGAGTTTGACTTTAAATTTTATGAATGAACTTATCAGGAGTTGGAAATAATAGGCCACTCACCAGCAAGTGGATTCGCTAACGAATTAGTTCAGTTGACATTAAAACAGCTACAAAAGGATGTCAAACATGAAGTATTTCCCAGATATGTGGAAAATTACTTGAAGATATCTCTGCAGTCTACATAGCAGTAAAAACTGCTCATCTTTACAGCCTTACTCTGGAAGAGTAAATCTATCAATCAACGTGGCGTAATGAAACTGTAGGTAACGTTTGAAAAGAACCGACTCTAAACTGAATTAACATAAATAATGTTTATAACTGGTGACATCACACACTTCAAAAAGTAAACACGAAAGAGAACTTACATTCGCAATGAATTCAGTTTTGTTCTTTGTCATATTTTTGTAAACTTCACCATTTGACAATGTCGTTGTCCAATATTTGTTCGAAAGTGTAGTGTGGACTCAAATCCAGGCGGTGTAGCTTGTAAGTCTAATTCATAACTGAATAAGCCTAGTTCATTCATTGCAAGTTGCTTCAAATTTCCCAGTATTCTGAACAACTTTTATGGGTAAATATTTCAGTGTAACATTTCCCTGGAAGGAAACAAGTTGTCAAGAATGGGATAAGTTGTTTTGAGGAAGGTAACTAGGTCATAATTTCAATGTCCTTAGAACAATTATCACACTATCTGTCCTTTTAAAGTCACACTAGCTGTCCACCTACTTCTTCTCCTGGTAAACCTAATCATGCTAATTTGAAGGAGAGGGACAGGTTGTGAGTTGATGGTGGGTCGGTAGATTATTTCATAGAGTCTCAATTTACTTAGATTTTACAACTAGGCGGAGAGAAATTCTGGTTTACTTTATGTAGAACGCTAAATTGTGGTGCCTAATTCATGCATATATCCAGTGTTCGAGAAACACATTTTGTCACCAACTAACTGTCAGATTGACAAAACACAGTAACAACAAGACACTGTGAGAATTTCACATTGTAAGCAATCACCAGTTAACCTTATGGTAGGAATATTACACGATAGTATAGATACAAGCCTCCTGATTTGCAATGAGAAGAAGTCATTGGAAGAATAACAACCCGCAAAATTGGCTAGCTATTCAGTTTATGGAATGTTCTAAGACCTATTTGCATAGAAATGATTAATATTTTCATCACTATCATTATCATCTTCCCCAGTAAATTTTGGCGTTACCCTCTCTCAACTTACTTCACAGTTTGCAGGAATTTGTAGTTGACTTGGACACTGAACTTCAGGGATATTTGTGCTCAACTGAAAGTTAACGGGTATTGGTAAAGGATTTTCCAATGTAAGCGTATATGTGGTAGGTTTACGTACTGGTGTTTGCATTTTAATTATATCTAGACTTCTACTTCTCACCGATTTGAAGTTAATCTCAAAGAATTGATATTCTCCTGTAGTGTCGTTGGTGAATGTCACCTGAAGAAAAATTTTGAAATGTGTGACAGTGGATAAACATTTTTGATAATGACAATACAAGTTCCTCTTCTGCTAATCAGTACATTGAGTGTTAAGTCTACAGTGTAACTAATATCCGTATATGTCTACGTAAGGGATAAAGACGAATCACTGGTTGTCACTCTCCAACATGATAATTAAGCTGTTTCAGTGAAAGAACACAGTTACTGACTGGCACATTTGACTTCCATCTAGGTAATTCCTTGATCTCACTATTTTTACATTTTCCCTGAATTGTTTTGTTTTCATTCTGCATCTGATAACTGGTCAGTATCAATTGGAGAAGCACTGAAAACCAGGTTTCCTATTATTGCGTTGATGTTTAGGAGTGCGAAACCACGACTCCATGAATCATTAAGATCAAAACTTGTACGTAAACACACGAATGACTTCGCATTCACCTGTTGTCTGCAACTATGTAGATCTCAATTTCTCATAATTTGTAATATAGTGTCACTGTCATTCATTATATGCAATCGCATTTCACTTGCTGAATTGAACGCTACTTGGCGTCAAAACTTCAAGAACTCCATCTTCAATGATATTCAGTAATCGATAGGGGACTATTGATGTTATTGAAAAGCTTTTAGATGAATTTTGACACTGGTCCATCTCCAGTTGCGTCACTAATCAGAAGAGAGTTCGCTTAAGGAACCCATGATAATGATACTATTGTAACAATAATGCAAGTCTAGAACCTGGTCACCGTGGTAGAATGTGGTTCTATATTAAATATGTTTATTTGAAACATAACAATGGTAGTCACTGTCTCCTGGTTTAAAGATAGGGAGTGAAGTGGTAGAGCTCATTGGCCACTTCACTTACTTGGGTAGTTGCATCACTCCCAGCTGGTTGATCCCTGAGGGAAGCAGGAGGCTCGTTTAACATTTCCCAAGTTGCATCATCTCTGGCATAGACGTGATATCCAGTTCCATTATGGGTAAAATTTATTTTGATAAAGTCTCTAACAATGTTTGTTATACAATAATATATACTGATGACGATTCGAGCTCAATTTATTGCCACTCATAATCATATCTAGGCACTCACTCACACAACTTTCTAACTTCGTTTACATAATTTCATTATTTTCCATCACCTGACTAGATTGGTAGTAGTATTTTCCATATTTCCGGTATGAGTGATGAGTCATTCCTATTTCGGGTGTTGGGTGTAGACTCGATGAACGAAGACTCAGTAATCAACCTCTCTCTATCTCCACCTACCTAGATTACTTCTTAGAATTTTAACCCTCTCCCACAACCTTATTGTGTGGTTGTGTGTTAATGCATGCATTGCAATTGCTGAGCTTTTTTCTAAATTACTTATCTTCTCGGGGTCAACCATTCTTACCTCAGCTAAATTCTTATGTTCTGACAATCTGACTACCCCCGCACGATCTACTAGTTTGACCTATGTAGTTCACCTAACTCACAGTCATTGCAGGGTATTTTTTAAATTATATTATTTTGTCTAATTGGGTCAAATATGTCCTTTTACCTACAGAGCTTGTCCTACCTGAGTGAGTTTGTAGGTTTGAATGCCACTCTAATTCTTGCTAGAGAGAATGAGCTAGAGAATCAGCATTAAGAAAATCATGAACTATAGAAATCAAAATATTCAACAAACTAATGGAAAAAAGAACACAATTGTTGAAATTGACGCCAACATTTAATTCTCAGTTGAAAGAACAAAATGGGTGATAATCCTGTCATCAAGGGAACTAATCTCTAGTGAGATAAAAGTACTTGAGGAAGGACTAAATTTCAAAGTAACAATTAGTAAATTAAAACCATAGGATTTCATTCCTAACATGGAAGTAGCACTAAGTTCAATAGATAAGCCGACAGCAAAATCAAACTTAACAACATCGGAAAGACCAGCTCTAATTAGTCTAAAACAGGATGAAAATATCGTTATCACAAAAGCTGATAAACGAAACTCAACAGTAGTTTTTGGATAAATCTGATTATATAAAGAAAGTCCCTGAACACACTGAAAAGTGTCCATATGAGGAAATTAAGACACCTGTATATACAACAGTGAATAAGGTTAAGAAATCTGCAGCGGATTCAATACGCAGAATGAAGCCGTCACTGGGTAAGTCAAAATGGTTTAATTTAATGCCTAAAACTAACAATGCTAGTAGAATGTATGGTACTATTAAAATACATAAGCCAGGTTACCCCATACGACCAACAGTAGATTTCAGAAACTTCCCTATTTATGAATTATCAAAACACCAAGCTCTAATGTTATGCCCCATTAGAAATTGTTCAAACTCTAGACTAACTAATTCATATGAGATGAAAAATAAACTAAATGACATTCAACTAGAGAATGATGGAACAATGGATAGTTTTGATATAACTAGTCTTTATACTAATATACCAATCAATATGGCCTTATAAGCAGTTAAAAAAGGACTAACTACAGACCATGAACTCACTCATAGAACGAAGCTGCCCATTGAATAAATTAATTTGGGAATTCAGTTATGCCTTGCATCTACTATATTTAAATTCCAAGACAAAATATATAGACAAACAGAAGGTGTAGCAATCGGATCACCAATATCCGCTATCGTAGCAGATATATTCATGGACAGCTGGGAAAATATGGCTCTTAATACGTTTAATCCTACTCCAAAAATATGGTGGAGACACGTGGGTGACACTTTCACAGTGGTAAAAACGGAACATATCTCTAGCTTCTTGACGCATATAAACTCACTAATGGAGGGAATAAAATTCATATTTGAATCGGAAGATGAACAAGGAGAATTAGCTATGTCAGGTTGTAAAATAAAACGAATAGAAGAAGGTAAACTTCACACCAGCTTTTATATAAAACCAACGCATTCTAATAGGTATTTAGACTTTAATTCATCTCATCCGTTAACTGTTAAAGCAGGCTTAATTAAGTGTCTAACAAACCGAGCAGTAGTAATGAGTAGTACAAGAAAAGACCTAAATTATGAAATAAAACAGGTAGAAGAAGAGTTGGTGTCAAATAACCATCCAATAAAATTCATTATGAAGATCAGGAAAGGCCAAAAACAAAATAAAAATAATTGTGAAACTAGAAATGATAACATAAATAAGAGAGAATATAAGGCATCTAGTGCTAAACCATATAAGGAGGGGACATCTGAGATACCACATAGCATTATTAATAGAGCAGGAATTAGAGTGGCATTCAAACCTACAAACTCACTCAGGTAGAACAAGATCTGTAGGTTAAAGGACCCATTTGACCCAATTAGACAAAATAATATAATTTACAAATACCCTGCAATGACTGTGAGTTAGGTGAACTACATAGGTCAAACTAGTAGATCGTGCGGGGGTAGTCAGATTGTCAGAACATAAGAATTTAGCTGAGGTAAGAATGGTTGACCCCGAGAAGATAAGTAATTTAGAAAAAAGCTCAGCAATTGCAATGCATGCATTAACACACAACCACACAATAAGGTTGTGGGAGAGGGTTAAAATTCTAAGAAGTAATCTACGTAGGTGGAGATAGAGAGAGGTTGATTACTGAGTCTTCGTTCATCGAGTCTACACCCAACACGCGAAATAGGAATGACTCATCAATCATACTGGAAATATGGAAAATACTACTACCAATCTAGTCAGGTGGTGGAAAATAATGGAATTATATAAACGAAGTTAACCTCGCCTAGATTACTAGGTCACTAGTATTCTAGCCGGTCCCAAGCCCGGATAAAGAGAGAGGGTTGGGGCGTGGTGCTAGCAACTCCACCCCCAAAACTTAACCAAATTGCTACTGAAACTTCAACGCACAAATATATTCAAAATTCTAAAAATACAAACAATAACCTTATTTTTCGCTGGAATCGGGGAAGTGAAATGACGCTGGCTGGTGAAAGCCTTCGGGAAGCCAGTCAGCCGATGTGCCTTCTTTCGATG